TCATTGTGTATATAATGTAATCCCGTTATAATTTCTTTAACAATTCTCTTTTTATCAGACCAAGTTAGTCGTAAGTAATCACGTTGTAAATGCTGTCGTAAGGACCCACCATTAGCATATTGCCTAACTAGGAACATGCTATCCTTTATTGAGTCTAAAAATAAACAATTTTTTAATCGATAATAATAACCTTATTTTTAAAAAAAGAATAAAATTAATAAAACTAACCTTGGCATAATCCTAAAATCCTCACTACATTTGCATGAGATAATTTTGATAATATTGTCAACTGAAATAGATTGGTTTTATATAAGTTATATATTGAAACATCAAAATTATTTATCGAATATTAAATTCGTCAACCAACCTCATTTACAAATCGTTCTATTACATTTCGATCAGTATTCTTATTATTAAAATAATTTTGTTTTAACGTTTTTAGACAAACGATGGTTTTACTTTTGCCATACAAAGCGGAAAAAACTTTACAAGAACTTTGATTTATTGGTAATAAAGGAGTTATTTTTTCAAACGACTCATATTCTATTAAATTAATCCGATTGTTTATATATTCATTTTCTATAGTAACGTCTTCAAGTATCTCGTTTTTATATTCCATTTTGGACAAGAATATTTATGAAATAAAAAACTGGTCAAGTGAGTCAAACGTTAAAGTATTTGGAAAATTCTGGTTCGAATGTTATCGTGAAAAACAGGTAAAAAAATAAGAAAAAAAAAAAAAAAAGAAAATGGGTGAAATACTGTATATTTATTTCTTTTAATCCTTTTTTTTTTGTGTGTGTAAAAAAAATACACAAATTTTTTCATGTACACGTATATGATAAGCCATAATATAAAATTTTTTAGTTTATGTCTATTCATGCGGCCATTGAGATCAGTCGCAGAAAAATTCTGAGCATCTATTTTTAGATCCATACACAACTCAACTCCGCACCATTTAAGATTTTTCGATTTTTCCGTGATTGGAACAATGGCTCTCTTCATCAAATTAAATAGACCGATTTTGTTGTCACTTCTTGGTGACCATGGGGTATTCCGATTGCTAATGTATATAGATATAAAGAGTAGAGATCTACTTTAATCTTTTTTTAGTCAAAATGATCCTCACGTTATGATCATGCGTTTGGTCATCAGAACTTTAAGTACGCATTTATTCATTCCGGATTAAGCAAAATATAACTTCGTAAAAGACCTACATAACCTACATAGTAACTTACAGACTTAGTGACGACGTTTATTGATGAACGATTTCAATGATTCATGCGTAGGAAAGTAAATGTGAAGTGATTCACGCTACTTTACGTCAGTGTTGAACAATATATATATCTACATATTTGTATGCACTTAGTTTGTGTGGCTCCGACTTTATCCTTTTTCGTTAGAAATCTTTCCAAATTTTATTATCGACATAAAATATTTACGCTTAGCCCTTCATTATGTTGAGTGATTTTGGTACGTATGGTACGTACATACAAGACTTATCTGTTATTATACGATACAATATACTGTAATACCTTATCTGTAATTATAGTAAACATGTAGTACATACATATGAAATATATAAAAATGAGAATAAATTGTTCGTTTATCATGTGACCTGGCGCATTTCATGCGTTCGCTATACCTTAAATTGCGTCTTGTCATTCCTTTTTAATAAAGCATTTTCCCAAACAAGAAAAAAAAAATCAAATAAACGCTAATCCAAGTTATTTCTGAATTTTCACAACTGAAAAAAAAAAAACAAAAGACAATCATTTCTATACAAATTTCTTTGAACTAACTTTTATGCTATATTCAAATACCCGTTTCTACCTTAACATATTAAAGTATATCATCTATTGAAATTACCTTGGATAAAATCATTGTGAACGTACAACTACCTATTTCTAGGTTAGGAATAGTTTGTCGTACCCGTGTGATGTTCAACAAATCGTACGTTATACATTATATAATATCTATATCTATATCGATCGATATATGTATACCAAATAATATATGATATATAAGATCGTGTGTTTCGAAAATTTACCATATATTATCTTTTTCTTGAATGTTTCAGAGCTGTGGTCGATAAAATTTATCAGGTTATTGTAAAATTTATATATATTCTGCATGTATATACTATATATATTTTTTTGTAACAAAGTATTTATCGTTCGGAGCGTAGCGAACTTACAGCTGTTTCACAATTCTAGGGTAACTGTGACCGAATAGATAGATTTTGATATTAGTCGACGTCGGCAGAATTTATGAAAAACAGCTTTACAATAATTAACCGTAGCGTGACGGAAGATTTAGTGGGAAAGAGCAATAGTTATCCTAAGCGTAACGGAGGAGCAATAGAACAGATGTGTTCGTTTTTTTTAATATATATATACAATATATATATATATATATATACCTAATATTAATATATATATATATATATACGTTGGTTACACCTAGCAGTGGTTTTTCTTTCCAATCATGGAACAGCTTACATAATCAATTTTAAAATTAAAAATCATATGATACATATTAAATAATAATATTAAATTTGGGTTTAGAATTATAGGAATTTGGTTTACTATGTTTGGAATTGGAAATTTAGGATTTGTGATTGGGATTTGGAATTGGGATTGGGACAATTTTGCTATGCTTGGGATTTGAGATTTTGAGTTGTAGTTTGTGCGCATGCATATTCACAAGGCTTCCAATAATGTGAGTCTTTACAATGCTAATATTAGAATCATCGATAGATTACCCCGACAGCCAATTATCCGACAGTTAAGATTAGTCCGATTTAAACCTGATTAAGATTTATTGTTAATCTCAATACTGTACCCCTTAAAAAAGTTACGCACACACTTATTTAATCCGGTGGATATTGTTTCGGATACCCACTGGATTATCCGCAATTAGAGCCGGGTGTTGTGATTGCTTATTCGTAATGGTAATAAAGCATGGTAACAAAGCATTTTGATAAAAACAGTATGTTAATTATTAAGAAATAACAAAAGGTTTTTTGAGGGTGAATGATTAAGTTTCTATTTCGTTATTTTTATCCTGTAAACTCTTGCATATGAATAAATTGTGACAAACGAAAACAGAAGAAACAAATAACGAGCTTTTAATGTAGGAAAATTAGACTTATAGTAACTTTATGTAATTGAAAAAGTACCTGAATTATCAATTTATTAAATAAAGATTTCTTTGTATAAATATTTTAATGTTTTGTCAAAATAATATACAAGTTGTATAAGTTACTCTCATTATAATGAAATGAAATGATCGATTCTATTAGTAAAATTTTTAAAATTTCACTATATTGAGAATTTTATTGGTAAATTCACTATATCAAAAGATTTTTATAAATTGGTAATTATTCTTCAAAATATTGAGAGTTCACTATTACGAGAGTGATTTATATATATATATATATATATTTTGTAGACATTCATTTAAAAAAAAAATAAAATCACCGGATCCAACAAATTTTACCGGTTAGTTTATGACCGGATGTAAAAATCCAGCAGATTGAGCTAAAAAATAGTCGGATCCAAACACTACAGTAAATCCTCGATCATTTGGTTTCAAAGAACGAAGATCTATCTACTGGGTTATTTCCCCGTAATAGGAAAGTAAGGTGTTAATTTTTTTGTTAAACATATGCATATCAGATATATTATTAATTTATTAGAGCTAGTACTATTAAGTTTAAAGATTATTCATCGTCTCATTAGAAACGCAGGGCGGGGATTTACATGTTATTGATCACAATTTTTATCATAAAATTTTTTTTCTTATTAGTTGTTTCCTCGGGTTAATATTCATCTCCTGACTTCTTTATTTTAGAGTTGCACCCGTCAAGAAAATCTCTATGAAATACCATGTCTGAAAAATAATTAAACATCCCCGAGTAACGCATGCATGGGGCGTAAAGCGCCCACATATACCACTGAGAGAAATTTCACTATTCCCGTCTCGGAGAATAAATAATAGGTATATTTTAATTTATTACAACTGTTTTCTATACTCATGTAGGGATTGAAGGATCTGGAAATTCTGTTTAGTAAAAATTAAATATCCAATTAGAGTGGGTCGAAAATTCTGAAAATCTGGTTAATAGAGGTCCTACTCGGGTATTATTAAATTACCCGGCTATTCGGGAATTCATTATATCCATACGTATTAAAAAAATGTCTACCCGGATAAATCTCTAATCGTGAATTTCCACATGGTATGGCGATCTACATCTTTTTGAAATGGCTGTAAATAAAGATAAACAAAAAGTATTAATTAACTATATTAAGTATTTTAACATTAAATACGTACAGATTACTATAAATGTTAAATACCATAGTTGTTATGCGTATCTTAAAAACTAGCTAATTAATTAATATATATACCTGGTATTTTAATTAAAAATACTCTGCACATCAAAAAATCTTAAATTCTAACTCTTTAACTTCTAATTTTAGCTTTAAATATTATTGTACAAAATTCTATATTACAAATATTGTAATAAGTATATTAAAAATTTATTACTATATAAAATCAAAAAGTATAGATATATTTATAATTTTTGTTAGTGATCGGACCCGGGTGGGTACACTCGGGTCGCCCACGGGTGAACGGGTAGTCCGGGTAGAGTTTTGGCAACCCGGGTGGAAGCGGGTGGGTGGGTCAACTCGCGGTTATCCATGAGTCATCACGAGTTAATCTATAGTAAGTATCTGATCCGGCCAAAAGTAAATGTTATTATAGTCGTCATCATAAATTCTGGAACATCTGAGAGAATTAGCCAAGGACTTACTTGAGTTCTACCCGGATGGCATTTTTTTAGATAGTTCTATTACTAATTTTTATTTTTGTTAAAATAATTAAAATTTAATTTGTAAAATAGCAAGTTTATTGTCCGAAGGACATTACGGGAGAGTCATAGAGCACCTCATAGGCCGACATTCGTCTGATTGGCTGATCGATTCAATTGCCCGGGTAACTAATTTATATGCTTTAAAGTACTTTTTAGGAACTCGATGTTTCACTAACAAAAAAATTTTTTTTTAATCATACGAAGCTTCGAAAAGATGTTAACAACTACTGTGCAAAATAATCAAGAGATAATCAACATTCTTGGCAAGTTTTATTAGAAGAGAAAATAAGCCTCCAACTACTCCTCTTATTGGTCCGTGCATTATTACTATTTGTCAGAGACAGTCAACCCAGTGGAGAAGGGTAACTGAGAACTTTCTCTTTAAAGCCCAAACTAATAGTATCTTGCCAAGTTATGTTTATTTGGGTGATATAGTCTGCTTAGCCTGTTATAATGGAATTATAGTAAACTGTTTACTTGAATTCAAGCAACATTCTCAAGTTATTATAGGAGAAAATGATTTTGAGGAAGTAAACATCAGAAAATTTTTAAATAGGGTGGATATCAATTACCAGCTGCAAAGGCGATTACCATCGATTAGAAAAATCGATAATAATCGATATTGGTAGTTAATTGATACACAATCAATTGAAAAATAATTGATTTTAATTTTGTTTTGATATAAATTGATTTCAATTAAAGTGATTCTAATCAATTTTAATTAGCAGCTTTGTTGTCAATCG